GTGGCCGAGATTTGGCATTTTTCAAGTTATCAGTATCTGTATTTTTATTGACCGGTTATTGATACATTAAATGCGTTACTTCAGGTCTGATGCAGCCTCCTCTGTCTGTCTTTAGTCACTCTGTGGACTCAGAGATGTCTCTCAAGCAGAGAAAACTGAACAAGAAACACAGGTCGTTGCCACAAACCAGGAAGTTAGCCACTTTCACAGTGGCTAACTGTGACACTTAATGGCATTTACTGTTTTATGAAAAAATAACCAGATGGTAAGCCAGAGCATCACCAAAATGTAATCATCTGTTCATTGTGCCATTATCAACATTTCCTGAAAAGTTCATAAAAATCTGTTCATAACTTTTCCAGTTATCTTGCTAACAAACAAACAAACAGATACAGTCGTCCTCAAATGTATTCATACCCTTCCATTAAAGAAAAGGCAAAATTCACAATAGTCACTCAAATAATTAGAAACTGAAAAAAGTAATAATAAATTAAAATTTGCTAAATTATAATTTAGTGAAATAAGACATTACTTTTGAATTGTGGTTGGAAAGAATAATTTAAAAAAATAAATAAAATTGTCCCGGACAAATTAGAGCACTTTGCTGATGAGCAGTGAAATCAAAACACCTGTCAACAGGTGCTGAAGTCTGATTGAGAGTTACAGAAAACACTTGATTGCAGTGATTGGCTCAAAGGGTTGTTTAAATAAATATTAATTTATGGGTCCCATCATGCTTGTTTGTTTTTTTATATATACAAATATATCTGTTGAACCACAATTCAAAAGCAATGATTATCATTACATTTTGTCAATTTCAACTTATTTCAGTGACTGAAGCTGTTTTTTTCCTTCTTTAATGGGAGGAAATAAATTTGAGGACGACTGTTAACACTGGTTAAAACATAACCTCCTTGGTGGAGGTAATAATGCTGTCAGATATGGACCTCAGTGGACAATACAAGCGATAGAACAGTGGAAGAAGAGGAAAAACTGATCAATCTCAGTGGATCCCACATGAACAGAGGAGAACGTCCTAATCTAATCACTCCTGTTTCTATTTTACATTTTCAGTTCTAGTCACTCTTATTAATGAAGAAGTCTAGTTATGAATGACAAGTTCCTGCTATCACGTGCTGGTAAAACATTACATTTAATGTATATTGGTTCCAAATAGGGCTGCAGAGTGGTGCAGTAGTTAGCACTGTTGCATCGCAGCAAGAAGGTCGCCGGTTCGCGTCCCGGTGGGGTCACCAGAATCTTTCTGCGTGGAGTTTGCATGTTCTCCCCATGCAACGTGGGTTCTCTCCGGGTTCTCCGGCTTCCTCCCACACAGTCCAAAAATATGTTGAGGTTAATTGGTGATTCTAAATTGTCCGTAGGTGTGAATGTGAGTGTGCTTGGTTGTCTGTCTCTAAGTGTAGCCCTGTGATAGACTGGCGACCTGTCCAGGGTGTCCCCTGCCTTCGCCTTAAGTCGGCTGGGATAGACTCCAGCCCTCCTGTGACCCTAGTGAGGATTAACCGGTGTAGATAATGGATGGATGAATGGTTCCAAATATTGGTCATCAATTATCAGCATGTGTCAGCCCTAAAAAACCCACATCAGTTCACACTAAGTTTGGGTGTCCACATACTTTGAACTGACTTTTTGTTGTGTATTTTTTACTGAACCTTCTGGCCTCCATGGTGCCATTAAACTAGAACTTCTTCTGCTTCATGTTTGTTGTCAAGGAGGAAAATTCTTCACACGTGCACCTGAGTGTGGTCATCTGTAAAAAAAAAAATCCCACGTGCACCTCTTATTTATTTACAGTGAAAACATTTTATTTCATCATGTTGTAAGTATCATTTCATTGAAAATAAACAAGACCAGTAAAAAGGAAACAATACAGTTTGAAACTCCTCGCGACACCTTCAGATTGAACCAGTACAGCTATTGGTTGAATGGCTTTTTATTAATACAGAGTCGCCCCTCCTGTAAACCATGAGGTCATTCATCAGTACACATTCTATTTCAATGTTTTACGGTAAATATGAACACAAAAAATCACAAGTCTACAGTAGAGTTTTGTGCCACACTGGCATGGCGAGCGGTTAAGATAAACTATCAAAGAATCACTTGCATGCACGGTTTTATTGTCTACATAGCCTGGATTAAAAGAGAGCGTTACAGGACATCGAAAGCACTGAGAGGAAAACGGAAAAAAAAAACAAAAGAAAAATCTTCTCTAAGACTGTGCAATTCTGCTCAATAACAAAGGTCTATCTTAGAAGCTTTGCATTACACATTGTTACAGAGGTTATCCTTCAGTATGTGCTCCTAGGACATACAAAATAGTCAGCTATTAGAAAGCACATGGCACATATAACAGCTAAGAACTCTTTAAGTGATATAAGAGCAATAATATAATAATCATAATAACCATAATAATACAGCAATAGGTGCAATCTTCCTTCCGTGTGTCTCCTCCTCCCGATCTGTGTCACAATGTATTGTACATACAGAGCAATTACATTTGGATGATGAATGAACTGTACATGGCACTTCAATAACACTATTTAACATGTCGATGGAGCTGAATAAATAAGAGGAGAAAATAAATAATGATTTTTTTGCTCGTTCTCTCAAACAGAGCGTCCGGTTTCCACACATGAAGCGGTAAAGGTGACAAAAAGATTTTAGTGAGGAAAACATGATTTTTTTTTTAAGCCAATAGTAAAAAGCAGCTGATAAACAGATCATCAACTGTGAGCTGGGATATCGGTTTCATTGTTGCTCACCTTTTATTCATCTTCCTTTCCACTCATCTCCATCCCTTCGCTCTGAGCAAAAGCCATTAATTAATCCAAACGCTCTGCGAGAACGAGGAAAATTAAATCTCGGATGGAGTTCACTGTGTATCTGCTTTTGTCTGCGCTTAGACGTGAGAAATGATATGAAAGCTCTCGGCTGTAATCCTTCCTCGTCTGGTTTGTGGCTCTGAGACGAGAGCGCCGCTGATCATTAGGGATAATCTGAGGACGGACTTAAAGAAATCTGGACTGTACAAGTAGATGAAATGCATGTAGCTAACTGGAAAAAAACCCAAAACGTTTGATTGACACAAGCTAAATGTCTCGGATCATTTTTGGAATGAGGGTGCCATGCTCTTAAGAATATGCTTGTTAAAAATTCTGCTGACTGAGTGGCGTGATGTGTTTGTTTTCACCCCTTGTCGCCGTCGGGCCGCAGAGTTTAGACTTAGTTAACCAGGAAAAAAAACAAGACAGCGGCTCGACCACCGCTCCTCCCTAAACGCACGTTTTGTTGAGGTCGACTTTCACCGGCAGCGGCCCGGCCTCCTGGATCTCCTCCGACTGTTTCACGGTGACGGCGATCACCGGACTCAGGTGGTACGGGTTGACTTTTTGGGCGTTGTCCAGAAACTCTTTATCTCCGTTGATGCTCAGCTAAAAAGACACAAAACACAAATTCAAACCTCCAGCTACGAAACCCCTGCTTGACTCGTGCACTCGGTTCAATTCGTCTGCATCAAACAGTCGCTTGGAATTAAAATAAGAGTCAATTCTAAGCCTTTACGCGCTTGCATAAACTGACAGTTTCTCTAATAACTTTGTGTACTGTTGTCATCTAAAAGCCTGTTTTTTTTCAGACCTCTGAGGAGGAAGAAGATGTGCACATCTGTTGCCCCGGTAACCCAGCGTCTCTGATGAGGATGCAGAGCGGACTGATAGCAGCAGACAGTTTCCAGTGATGTAAAGAGGAGATAGGAGTTTTATCTGTGATGTTTTTTCATGGATCTGTCGCAACAGATGATGCTGATTTCTGTTACATAAAAGTACTGCAATATACTGTAGAGGACCCAAGCATAGAGACATTCACTGGAGTGCGCTAAATATGTGTATGCTTATTTCGTGACAGCCTCGTAGCACAAGATTTAAACAGTGTAATCACAATAAATGCACGTTGCGTAACCAAGGTTTGACAATGCACGTCAGTCAAATGAGAGGCTGTAGATGAAAAACACCCTCAGATCGCTGCAAAGGGATTTAATCAGCTGAAAGGAGAGGCCATAATACAGCTTTCTAGCTGTTATGGATGGAAAATCCTGATAAGAATCTATTATCAGAGTAATCTTTACTCTTTTTTTCCCTGAAATCAGTGCTAGATCAGAATAAATCAGCTTTTTAACAGGTCTATAATGGAGCAGCTTCACCATTTTCAGAGAGAAATATAAGAAAAACACACACATGTCCAGAGAGACCAGGTGCACATTAAGTCATTTGTTTTTCTCTGCGTACCTGCGTCTTGATGTGCTGCTCCGGTGCGGTGACGAGGCTGGCACAGCTGAGCCACAACATGACCATGATGGACAGGAAGAGACAAGCAGCTAAAATCCAGCGCGGAAGTCCCGAACGTCTGCACAATGAAAGAGCGAGACGAGAATAAGAAGAGACGGGAGTGAAAATGAGGAGAGCTGGAGACTAATTACTGAGTCATCATCCAGTAGAATTAACCTAATAAAGAAATAAACGTATTACAAACATACTTCTATACACCTGAACACCAAAAGCTAAAGAGTCAAACAGGTGGTTTTGCATGTTGATTTACTAATTCAAATTTCTTTAGCTGTGTTCTTTTCTGCGGTTCAGATCAGTGAAATTTGTTAAATTTAGCTTCTACAGACATAAAACTCCAGTGAGTCAGATTATCCATCTCAGTGAATATAATCCACATCTGTCTTTGTCAGTTACAATATCACTGCAGGAGAACGCAGCTCAAAGTGTGATCTGATGCAAATTTGCAAAAAAAAACTGAATACGATTGTAACTCTGACAGTGAAAGCAGCGACATGTCAGCTGTGGTGGATCAGCGGTCTCCAGTCAGATACAGTTTCCTAACGGGTGATTTTGGAGACATGGCACTGGAACGGCAGATACATTTCTGGTTTGTTGGGAGAACACTCTTCTTGCATTATGTAACATACTAATTTCATTTTCAGCAGCACAACTGTACACTGTAAAAAAAACAAAAAGAAAATCCCACAAAAAAGGTGAAAATCTGGCAGCAAGGGCGCCAGAAAAAAAATATGGTGTCGTACTGCAACATTCAAAAACTGATTAAAAAATAAAAAAATTAAATCATAATACAGAAAACAACAGCAAATATCAGTGAAATGTTGATTTTTTTTTTTTTTGGTGGATTTAAATTAAACTGTATTTTCATAGTCAAACATTGTAAAAGAACACATTTCTATTTCTAAAAATAGAGGGTTTTTTGTTGTTTTTGTTTGTCTTTGTCTTTTTTTACAGACGGCATGTGAATTAATATTTTCTCTAAATCTGTAATTTTACAAATCGGATCATTAGTAAGAGAGTTAAAATGATTATTTACCATTTTTCAGGCCTTAATATACATAATTTACTCCTCAAATAACAACAACTACTTGTAAAGTAATGGATTTTTGATTTAAATACTGCAAAATAGTGAAATTTTATGGTCCAAAGTTTCAAAAGAATGATTTACTGTCTATAAAAATACAGATCATTGATGTGGACAGTATTTATAGTTCTGGCCTGTTTTTACTACAGATAATGTGTAAATTTAATACTTTCTTTCTGTGATTTTATTGGTTATTGTTTGTAATTTGACAAAACATGGAACAATTACATTGAAAAATCCAAATTACACTTAAAAACTGTTAAAGAAGTTTCATTTTTTGCAGTGCAGCTCCAGCTCACCTGGACATGCATCCCAGGAAGTCGTGCTCAGCTGTTGGGTCCTCCGTGTGCTGGACTGGATGCTTCCCTTTACCTGCTGCTTTAGCTGCTCCCTTCTCTCCGTGTCCCCTCACACCTGCCACGTAGTTAAAAAAAAAAAAACAGACTTCAGTTGGATGCTAATTATTCTGAGACATCTAATGATGGTACACTGCAGCAGCCTCCATGTGCTGCCAGGTGAGCGTCGTGTTCTAACCGTGAGGTCTCTGGGTGTGAGAGTGGACCTGAGGCCAGGGTTTGTCGGCCACGTTGGACCGGGGAGCCTGCAGCTCGGGCAGAGTGTACTCCATCTCTGGCTGGCTCTGAGGAGAAAGAAAGAAAAAAAATCCCAACAGTCCAAACAACGCTGAGCCATCGTGACAGAAAATTCACCACAGTAGTTCACCAGCAGCTCCGACAAGAAAGAGTCTGTTTAACAGTGGGAGAGAAAACCAGAGAGGAGCTCCAACCAAGACCAGTTGGTGGGAAAATCAGCGGGAACAGAGAGAAATAAAAACAACTAGCTGTGGTTTTGTCTGTTAATTAGTAGCCTTGGAGGTTTAAGGCGAGCCAGACTAGCTGTTTCCTGTGTTTCAAGGCCTTATGCTAAGCTAAGCTAATCACTTTCTGGCTCTTGCTTCAGATTCAGCCTTCAGACATGAAAGTTTTCATCTAACCATCAGCAAGAAAGCAAAAAAATATCAACTTATTCCTTTAACACCACTGCAACAGTTCAAAAGGTGCCACAAATGACACTGATCGAAATGAAAATGAAGTGAGAGTTGCTGAGTTTAGGCATCAATATTCATATTATTCTGACTTAAAATTAGGTGAAAACAAAAATGCTCTTTTACACTGAACAAGAATATAAACACAGAATCACTGAAACTTTGAATAAAAAAAGTTAAAGATCTAATCGTCTATATTACAAATTTCAGCAAATCGTGAACAAAAAGTTTCTGAGTTGATGCTTTAAAGGACAACGATCAGACAGCGGGAGCAGAACACCGACACTCCTCTGACTATAAAAGTCCTCCTTAAAATGCAGTTTTATTGAAATGGCACGAACGACGCCACGGATGACAAATGACGGATCGCTGTTGGCATGCTGGGTGCTGGCAGTTCAGGTTGTAGCCAGGCGCTCAAATGTCCACATTTCCACCGTTTGTCATCCAAGAGACTATTTCAGACAGCATAGTGTCGATAAAAAGTATTCACCGCCCTTGAAAGTTTTCCCCTTTTATTGCTTTTCAACACTGAATAATCATCCATTTAATTCGTCGCTTTTGACAGGAATTCACACACAAAAGACTATTTTGCGTCAACGTGAAAACAGATTTCTACAGAATGTCTGTGAAGATTCTCAGTCATCCAGGTCATGGTTGTTCTGGTAGATTAGTCGTAGCAACTGGACTTGAGTGAGTTTGTTGAAGACCTCTCATCCAAGACGCTTCATCAGTTCTGACTAATTGGGAGATCCAGTTCCAAACTTGAAAGATCACCCCTTAACAGAGGTGGAGGTTTGAGGCATCATCTCTCACCGCTTTACAATTCAGTCCTAAGATCTCTCCCCAGGAAGATGAAACCGCATTCACACCTATAGCCACAAACGACCCTAACGAACCCCTTTGTGCCGGGTCGAGCACTAACGACCCACATAACGAGGGGGAGGAGCAACAACCCCCAATTGAAACTGAAGCTCAGGTGTTAATGACTCCTTAAGGATATAAGTGTCTGGAACTCCCAACTAGTCAGTCAGAGCTGATGAAGCCTCTCGGATGAAACGTCTTCAAGGAACTCAAGCAAGTCCAGTTGCTACGATGAATCTACCAGAACAAGATTTCTACAAAACAGAAAACAGAAAACAAGAACTTCCTCAGCATTTACCCGCTTTAATTCAATGCAGGAACAGCTAACTGGTGATGGAAGTCACACAGTTGGTGAAATAGAGGTCATGTGAGGTCAGTGAATGTGTCCCAGTGATTGTAGGATAAAGACTCCTGTATCTTTGAAGGTCCAGTCACTGGTGGATCAGTACTTCTGTATAGAACTACACCATGAAAACAAAAGAATACTGCAAGCAACTCTGTGAAAAAGTTGTTGAAAAGCATAAGTGGGGATGGATACAAGAAAACTGCCAAGTCACTGATTATAATTTGGAGTACAGTTAAATCCATCGTTAAAAATGGAAGGAATGTGGTACGTTTGTAAATCTGCCTTGAGCAGGTGGTTCTCAGAGTGACTGTAAGAAAGAACTGAGTGAAGGAGGCCACTAAGACGCCTATGACTCCTCTGAAGGAGTTACAAGCTTCTGTGGTTTAGACAGTGAATACAGCTGGTGTCTGTTCTTCACCAGTCAAAGCTTTATAGGAGAGGGGCGAAGAGGAAGTCCCTGTTGAAAAAAGCTCATTTTAAATATCGACTAGATTCATCAAAAGGCATGTGAGAGACTCTGAAGTGAAGTGGAATGCATTTGTTTTGGTCTGATGAGGCTAAAATTCAGCTTTTGACCATCAGACTTGACATCAGCAAACTCTGTACATTATCAAAAACATCCCGGCCGTGAAGCATGGTGGTGGCACCATCATAACACAGGGATGCTTCTCAGTTGCAGGGAAGCTTTTAAAGATAAAGAAATCGGGGAATCCTGGAAGATGATCGAATGCAATCTGAAAAAAAATAAAATTGGAAGAAGACTTGTTTCCCAGCAAGGCAATGACCCAAAGCATACCGCCAGAGCTACACAGAAATGGTTTAAAGACAACAAGGTGCATGTTGTGGAGTGGCTGAGTCAGAGCCCAGACCTCAATCCAACTGAGGATTTGTGTCTGGACTTGAAAAGGGCTGTTCACTCGTGATCCCTGTGCGACCTGACCAAGCTTGAGCAGTTTTTGCAGAGAGAACGGGATAAAACTGCAGCGTCCAGGGTCAAGGTGCACCTACTAAATACTGACTTTAAGGGGTGAATACTTATGCAACCACTTAATTTTAAATAACTGACATTAAGTAGTAGAAATCAGCTTCCCCTTTGACATGAAAGAGCTGTTTTTTTCCTTCCAAAAAAAGCCTGATTAAATTAACTGTGATTCAATGCTGCAAAGTAATAAAAGGGGAAAACTTTTTTATTGTAGTTGTGTAGCTTAGCTCAACAGAAAAGTCAGGGGTCAGTATGTACCTCACACTGACCTACAGCCCTGCAGCCGGCAGGGATTCAGCCCGGAGTGATCCGGTGTAGCCCACAGTCTGCCGGCTCACCCCACGTAATTAAAGTTTCTCTTCAGGAATCTACCCCTCTGCTCAGCAAAAAGCAAGCATCTCGCTAAATGATAACTGTTTTCATCCAATTGTAAGCATTTAATAAAGTGTGTAGCCTAATTAAATTGCCTTGAAAGTAATCACTGTTTTTTTTTTTCCAGCCCTCCTTAATACGTCTGGGTGTCTCTTTCTCACGCACCCAAATCAGCTTACTAACAAAACCCTTGTACTGGGACAGCATCTGTGAAAAATGGCTTTTAAAACAACTTCTAACACACACACACTGGAGCCTGCTGTCACTATTTGCACTGTTGTGTGTTTCATATTGTACGCAGTGTTTCAGGTTCCCTTGGAGAACTCATTAAAAGAGGATTTTGGTTCCCTACTGCTGACCCTCCCTCCACCACAGCAGCAGCAGCAGTAGTAACAACACTATTGCTGGCCTCAGCAACGACACACACCTATTTAGAACAAGCACAATATCTGCAGTAGTGTCATCCTCTCGGGTATTTATAGATTCTGACACTTAACCAGATAAACAAGCTTTGAAACGTCTTGCCGTGTCTGACACTATAATGCGGAAAAGTGTTAATTCTCGGGTTCATTCATTAGTTTACGTGCAATCTGTGGCACGATTTTAAAGCACTGTAGTCACCGAGGAGACGCGCTTGGTTAGTCTGCTTCCCAAAACACTTTAAAAGTTATTTCACAACCGAGCTTATTACCTCCGCTGAGCGATGTTTTCTGACTGGGGTGCATTGGAACCAGATGCAGTGTAAAAGTTTAGGGAGAGGTGAGGGTAGATGTGAGGGGGAGGCTTCTCATTTGCTGCAGACTCAGATGATCTAACCGTCAAAACGAGCGCAGCCTGATCTGCATCTGTCATGCATTACGAGAGGGAGCACAAAGGGTGCTCGAGCTCACCGAGAGAGAGAGAAAGAGGGCTTTAAGAGTTCAGAAATGTCTCTGCCAGGGAGTTTTAGTCACTGAAATGCCTCTTTTTTTTGGATGAGTTTGGTCATAGATACAGCCTGTTTTTGCTGTTGTGGATAATGGAGGACAATTAATGTCAATATCTAATGGATAACGACGTCTCATTACATGATCCATACATCTTTGTCCTGGGAAAATGGTTACAAAGTGCATCCTACTGGCTGTGCATTGACATTACAAGAAAAACATGTGCTTGTATGCTTCTGAAAATCAGTCAAGTTGCAGTTTATGTACACTATCTGTCCTGACACGTATAGTGTTTGTACTGAGTCCACTGAGGGAAACAAATAGAACAAAATAAACTGTGTTGGCCAATAAACCTGATTCTAGCTATGACAGCAGAAGATGCTTCAAATGTGGATAAAAAAAAGCTACAAATGCTAAAAGTTGAAGGCGTCACATGTTTTCGAAGATCTACACAATTTCAAGGCAGGAAGGCAAAACTAGTGTCACCGATTCAGCATCCAAAATGTGATGAGATGTGAAATATGGTCACAGTTTTCCCTCCTGTTCCTGAGTAACAACATTGAATAAATTATGATGGCATAGTAAAGCTAACCTTTGACCTTTTGGATAGAAAAAGTCATCACTTCATCATCAGACATTTGTGTAAGGTGTAATTTATGTGAGGTGACCAGAAAATGACCAAAGTCTCATCAGTTCATCGTTGAGTCGGAGTGAACATTTGTGCCAAATTTAAAGAAAACATCCTCGAGGCATTCCTGAGATATCACGAGAATAAAACGCACAACCTGAAAATGGAACTGTCATCGGCATAGAGGTGTAAAGGTGCATAACAGAACCAACTTAGGACGACCGTAGGCTAAGCTGGACGAAGCTAAACAGAACAATAAGACAGAAAATCGGGGCGATATTCCTGGATTTTTGCTGCTACATCTTATTCCTCTGGGCTCGAGAGTTCAATCTTTATCCAAAAAGTATTAAAAACAGCTGCGGAAGTGGGTGACGTGATGTTTTATTAAGACCAACAGTCATCGTGAGTCATTAAACACACACACACACTATCAGCCACTGAATCGACTTATATAAATAAGCTGCCTGTTCTAATAAGATTTGTAAAAATAAATCCAAAAAAACGAAATTAGTTTTTGGAATGTTTTTGTTAAGTAATTAAAGAAATGTTTTTGGACATGAGTTTTATAGATTTGTGTATTCAGTATGAACTGTGGGCTCGAGGCAGTTTGTTGGCTTTCATGAGATTTGTTGAGAATAAAAGAATATGCATGCTTTAAACTTCACATTTTAAAGACGGACATAAAGGAGTGTTTTAAGCATCACGATTCACATTTGCATCCTGTTTGTGTGTCTGGATGAGTAAACAACACAACAAGAGTTATAAAGCACAATAGCTCTGCCTCACACTGACTTCAAACATTGTTCTATCACCAGTTCTCCGTGTCCTGCTCAGGCTTTCTTTAACATTCATTCGGGCAGAATGACTAATGCAATCACCAAGAACAAACAGGGCAGCGACTCCTCTCTTCGTATTCAGCCAGACACCGAGTTCAATTTGTTCTGCGGTGCCGGCTCGCTAACGCTCCGCGGCTCGGCTGGAGGAGGCCTTTAATCGATTTACTTTCGTCACATTCACGCCGGCGCGCCATCGCTGGCCGAGCTGTCAAAACAACAACGCGGCGGTGAGGAGGGAAGGGTTGCGTTTCGTCAGTATTTCCTCAAAATTACAAGTCTTCCCCTTCGGCGGCGACGAACCTCAGCCGTGACCCGAGAGTGACTTGCGCTCCACCCTGGAACTGGTAGCTTCCTGCTCGTTCTGACGACGCTCGAGGCCGCACACGCAGCTATTCTCACAGCATGAGGTCACGCAAACGGGTGCAGACGGGTGCATATGAGCAGTCAGCTCGTTATGGAGATCCACATGATTTGTATTTCAGGCAGCGCCCGCTTTGTTTTTCTCCCCCCTCCTCTGCTGTCCCTCAACTTAGCTGGACTTTTTCTGTTGTTTCAATACTCCGGGAGTCAATCTGTCAAGTCGGTGGCGGTTTGCCAGCTGCCCACTAAACACTGGCCTGATAGTCCTCTCGCTGCCCCGTGGAGCCCGGCTTCCCCTCGCTGCCTTCATCTGCATGTCACTGCCATAAAGAGCAAGCATCCATCAACCCCGCTCTGAAAGAAATGTTGGTAATTTCATCTTCTGCTGCTCTGTGTACAATGTGGAGCTTCACAGATTTTTATACCTAATCGTGACTTTCAACATGTGAGCGGGCTCTTGTGTATAGGTTAGGGTGCATAAATACTATCATTTCCCACCGAGCCCTTTAATTATGCAGCTAAACTTGCCATCAAAGTCACTTATCCAAACGGGAAAGCACTTGACAGAGACGCAGGTTTCTTGTTGAATCTGGAGGATACGGTCGGCTGGTCTGGTGGTCAGAAACACCAAATCCTGTTATAGCTTTAATGTATAGGTGGTTTACTGTGTTGACTTTAGCACAAGCTTCACGAGCTCAACGAGAAAACACTAACGTCAGCAAGTACCTCTGCCAAACCTGCGCCGACCTCTAAATTTACTCTTTCAATAACAGAAAACGTCAACGTTCTTAAACCTCCATCAGATGTAAATAACTGAAACAAGTCAAGCTGTTAAAGAGATCAGAGAAAACGTTCAAAAGTGACTTTAAATGACGACTTCTGAATCGCAATTGTAGAAAGAATTCTATTTTAAAAACTGTGAAGAATGGTAGATCGCTATAATGTTGACAATAACAGAAAATATCTTTAAAATATTGATATTTTCGCCAATTTAAATACAGTAACTGTAATTTTATGGTCCTGCGTTGTTGCAAAAGAACAATTTACTATTTGAAGAAGACAAACAGGTTTTTGATACGGACATTATGTACAGTTTTGGCCTTTTATTTTAGATTACAGGGAAAATCTATAAAATAAATGGTTAAAAGATTTGATTCCATCTTTCTATTCATAGTTTTTCATTCAAAATATGACAAATATCTCAAAAATAATAATTCACTGATTTAAATACAGTAAAAAAAATAGTCATTTTACAGTCAAATGTTGTAAAAGACAGACTTATCATTTGTAAAAATATAATTTTTTTATATTTTTTAGGGTTAGCATGTATTTTTTTAAAATTAACAAAACAGAGAAAATCTGTGAAATAACAGTTAATTTTTTTAAACAGTTTGTCAGTACATATTATACATACTTATTCCTCCAAATTACAACAAATAAAAAAGAAAGAAAGAAAGAAAGAAAGAAAGAAAGAAAGAAAGAAAGAAAGAAAGAAAGAAAGAAAGAAAGAAAGAAAGAAAGAAAGAAAGATCTGGACATTGTTTACGGTTTTGGTCTGCTTTCTTTAGAGTAAATATGTAAATTCAAACGTACATTAATATCCATTTCCTTTTTACTTACTATCTATAATTTACAGAAACAGAGCACTCTTTAAAATTTGCACATTGTGCAAAAATTACAGTTAATACCTGTCAAAAAAAATGTTTTTTTTTACAGAGTGAAATATGTTCCATTGTTTCTCAGTCTCATAGCCTTTCAGCTAAAGTTCACAGTTAAAAAGCTGCACAGTCATAAAGACGTGGCATTAACTGCGTGTCAAGTTCATTTAGTTCATCTTTTCAAACTCCCAGAATTACTTGTGAATATTTATTTGTCGAATCCAGAACTTTATTCTTCCGCAGAGTTCATTCTCTGTTAAATCTTGCAGCGCGTTTCTATCCTAAAGTGCAGCTGGCCCTGCCTCGGTTATCAAATATGCATGTCCTGAGGCCGGTGACATAATTTAAAAGGACATTTATAAACAATTAAAGTGCTGTGAGAAAAGGAAGGAAAAAAAGAAAAAATCATTTGTAGCGTTCTGGATCCGGCCACCTTTTCCCCGTCCCGCTGGGCGCCCTTGTTCACTCAACCTTCACAGATGCACTGACTCTGAAATGGGCTGCGAGAGCTGCTGGCACAGACCCAAACTCCGCTGCACCGTATCACGATGATATATTTCAGAATCTTAACAAGAAGCAGAGGTGAGCTTAACTAATAATCTATAAGGGTCTGCTGGCTTGCTTTTAACCTCCCATTAAAAACACATGACGTGTAAAATCACTGTGGCGATTAATTTGATCATTTTGCACCATCATGAGTCAGTGGGTCACATATAAATATATATACAGTACGTCTGCAGTGACAAAGATATCAGCTGCTGAGATTTGATATGAACTGTGGTGCATGGACATAAGATTGAAATGCTCTAAACTCCACCGCAGCTTTTTAAAAACCTCCTTTCTGAAGATTTGTAAAGCATTTTTTTAACGGCAGGTTGAAGTTGTACCTGATTGAAAGCCTGTCCAGAGTGTGTCCTCACACTTCATGTCAGCTGGCCTTGACTCCAGCCCCCCCACTTAATTTAATCATGTTACTTTTTTCTGTTAGACTTTAAGGGAACCGTTGCCGCTCGTCAAAATGACACCATCTTTCCTGTCAAATATTACAAACACATTTCTGCTGCTGCCAAAAGTCATCCAGCAAAGATGAAACATTTAGGAACTAGGTTAAAACACAGTTAAGTTATATAGAAAACCAAGAAAAAATGCATTTAAACAAGCCTTTTTGCAGAATAAAACTGTAATTATTTACCTATAAATAACAGAATGGACTGATGGCTGCGTGGCATTGGGAAAAAACTGAATGGACATTTTTCAGTGATAGATCAGATCAGATGAAGTCGGGTTAGATCAGATCAGATAACACCAGCACTGCAGTGTTGTTTGGAGTAAACCCCATTTTCAGTTCCCAGGGTTCAAAATCCAAGACAAATCAGAGATGAAGCAAAAGGCCAAGAAGTGATATATATATATACTGCAATATCATCAAAATACAGGAATTATACCCAGATGACGTCTCAACGCCTCAAGTAGCAGCAACAATTATAAGTTTTTGCTAAACGTTATTCTTTCTGTAGCCGAAACATTTCCATACTGCTGATGTCTCTTTTCTTTTTGCAAACAAACCCTCCTTTTCAGCGCTTCCCTCCCGCTCCTCGTTCATTTTTCTTTGCACATGTGGCGTCTGCATGTCAACAAACTCTTGTAAATAAAGTTAAACAAAAGTCTTAAATCTGAGCAGCTTTTCTTCCATCAGGCGGATTTCTCTTGTAGATTAGTCAGAGAACCGTGTGAGGTTTCCTTCTGTATCGAGCAACCAAAAAAAAAAGTTGCAGCATGATGTGTTTGAGCTAATTTGCCTTAATTCACATTGTGCACATCGTAGTGTCAGTGTAGAGATACTGTGCAGCTCTCCTGATGAAATACTTTTACTTTTACTAACCCAAAATCCAAACCAAACACTTCCACTCATTTGATTCTTACCTGGAAAACCACAACTTTGCCGTCATCAGCCTGCAGGTAGAAGGTCCAGGTGGAGGAGATGAAGCTCTGAGCAGAGCTGACGATGTCGTTGCACCAACTGGACACGGCCTCCATGACAGACGGAGGCTTCGGGCGGAGAGTCATGGCCCTCAGCTGCAGGAGAGAAACCAAGATTGTGTGCTTCAGTTTGTGTACACGCTTTTGTTTTTAACAGCCATATTAATATTCAGACATCTTGAGTCACACTGGACCTTCCAGGTGCAGCTTATAGAGCGGCCTTTCTCACCTTCCTCCTCTTGATCTCAGGTTCAGAAGGTTGGCTGGCACAGCCGGTGCAGCAGGCCTCCTGCTCCAGCAGCTTAATATAGGCCTCCTGACAGGCTGCAGAGAGAGCAACAGAGGGAGACAGCTGTGAAGAATGACAAAATAGGTGTGATTTTAAAGTAGGAAAAGAAGAAAAAGACATCCAGAGTGTAGATGAGGGAGTTAAAAAAAAAAAAAGGGCACAAAAGAGAGTGGGCTCGGTGTGCTGCAGTCAGCTGGGCAGCAGAAGCAATAAAACAGGTACAGGCTGTTTATGTGGGAAGAAAAATAAAGACGTGAGGGGGGGACGCTGCATCTGTCGGCCCCCGCGGAGACAACTCGCTCCACGGTGCCGTTATTGAAACAGGGGGCAACGGGGCATCTGGCTGTCTGGACAGCAAATCACATCATTGATTTCCAATACGGCAGTTGAAACAGGGAGAAGAGCCTCAAACATCCAGAAAATACCCACTGAGCCTGCCAGCTTTCAGGAAACACTGCAATGTTTACCAGAGCTGCGCCGTTCGACACTTTGATGCTGGTCTGCAGCAGCGCTGGAAGCCCAGTGAGGAGGATGGAGGGAAGCTGCTGGAAAGCCGTCAATCTGAACATTGTTTTTATTTTACCTGAAGTTACGTGCATTCTATCTAGTATCTATACATATATATAATAAGATAAGATAAAATAAGCCTTTATTAATCCCACAGTGGAGAAATGTGCTGTATTACTGCAACAAAGAGGATAACGTAAAATGAAGGGACATTGGAAGGATAAAAATAAATTAAACTAGGAATATACATGACTACTGTTTATCTTGTGCAGATTCTTCTATATGTAGAAATCCAGCTTTTGCACAGATTCCTTTAAACGTTGAAAATAACAATATTGCACAGCATCGTTCTGTATGTAGAAAAAACACACATTCTTCCATGAGTAGAAGATACTTCTATATTATATTGTATCTCATATGTTCTAAATATTAATAACGCACTGGTTCAAATGCATTGATGTTGCTCTGGAGTGAAATATGACAGTTTTTTCCGTGTGTGGTCCACTGGGAGCAATTAGCAACTAAAGGTTAATCACATTTTACCAAATAGAGTGAATCAAATTCGTTTTCTGTCTTGTCAAAAGGACGATTCAGTCCTGATCTGAGTAGAAAACGTACAGAACATGAAGGTAAACCAGCATATCGTTTGATATTTTTAGGAGGATTCTGTTGGACACTGTTGTTCATTTGGACACACTGAAGGATCACGGCCTTCAGCTTTGGACGGTAACACCACCAACACCGCTCAAACAAACAGTCCAGCAGACAAGACGAACACACTGACTCACCTCCCTGACACTCCTCCCTGCTGGTATTAAAGCCGGCGTTGCCGTTGACAAACTGGCAGATGGAGTAGAGGCGACAGCCACGGTGACAGGCGTTCATTATGGAGTCCTACCAGACACACACACAGACAGACACACAGACAGACAGAAGACAAAATTAAAGACGTCTCCTGCAGCCTTGGATAAACTCCAGAAACGTGCCATAGATGGATTATGGCATCTTTTAATGACACGTTGCAGGAGCTGTATTATGGCCTGTCACAAGCTGTTTATAAGCAGCTTTGAGCCACAGAGAGAGAAACCGGGTGATAATGAGGCAGTTGGATAAAACTTGTACAGGATAATGTGGTGGTGAGGCAGGAAGGATGCACATTACTGCACCTCCTCCTGCCACAATGTCTTAATTTACTGTGCAAAATAAAGAAACAGCGCCCTCTGCCGAGCTGCATGAGAACAGGAGAGACAAAGAGATTCCCTGACCGCGACCATGACCGGTTTATCACAGCCTCTTCATCATCTTCACTGCGCTGTTGATTCACACCGAGCAGAGAAATGTGTTCATCCCCAACCAGCCTTACAGCTTTAAACGCCTTCGCAACATCTCCAAAGTTATCATCTCGCATAAACTCGACATTTTCCATCACACAGTCTCGAAACCAGGTGACTGTGATCCGCTTTGCAGCTCTGCTCCTGCTGCCCTGCAGGATGTCTGAACCACACCTGAAGGCGGCAGAGAGGGAGGAGGAGGAGGAGATGGAGGAGGGTGGAGGAGGACGAGGGGGAAAACATCCGAGACTGGAAATCCAGCTCGAAGCCACAAGGAAAAACTCACAGAAATACACAAGCATCATCTCCAGCGCAGCCTGGATCGGCGTGGCCTCGGCTGCGCAGGATGCTGCTGCTGCTGCTGCAAACTGTCAGTAAATGTTTCATGGCTCCTCCACTGCGCCCGATCGCAACTGCGGATCAAGAAACGGCCAATTACTGGCGCAGTTGATCGCAAGTGAGCCTGAATGCAGCTCACTTCTTTGAGGAGGGGGGGGAGGTAGCCTTTAAGATGCAGACGAAAATGAGCTGCATCCATTTTTTTGGCCTATAATGATGCGCCGGAGCATCCGAGAGGAGATGCAGCGCAAAAAAAAAAAATCGAAGCCTGTCATTACGCACGGATCCAAACGCATACATTCGACTCTTATTCATATTAAAAGCCACTTTTCATTTTCCCCCCTCCTCGATGCAGACTATGAGCTGTTGTTTATTTTCTGAAATGCAGCCCAGAGCAGGAGGATGTGGGTGTCCTATCCGCTCGCAGCCGCAGAGCCTTCGCCTTTCACCCAGCGGCATAAAGGAATAACTTACTTTAGCGGGGCTTTTGTTTTTGATGGTGAGCTGGCATTGCTTCTTGCAGTAATTGATGTCGCCCAGTTGGTTGTCAAACAGATCCGAGGACGCCGCCACCGCCGCCGCCGCCGCGAGCCCAGCGAGGAGCACCGAGAGCAGGGCCGAGAAGCCGCACATCCTGCCGCCGAGCCGGAGCATCTCAAACCCTGAAGGAGAGGAGCGCAGAGTCGAGCTTCGAGCAGCACTGAGCTCCCTTTGTGGCGGCGCTGCTGGTGCGGATGCTGCTGCTGCTGCTGCTGCTGCTTCAGCCCCGGTCCTGTCTGCTGCTCCGCCGATCTGCCTCTGCTCGTGGCGTCACGCGCAACATCATCATCATCACGCACGGTCCCCCCCTCACACACACACACACACACACACACACACAAGCCGCAGAACAGCCTTCACCGCAGTGCATAATGTCAGTGATGACATTCATTAAAAAAAATGTGCCAGAGATAGTTGATCAGGGGGCAGATGTGTTGCACGGAGCTGCCAGATGTTACACTTCACCCACCATCAATTATCAGATGGATGGAAAGATCGTGCTGGAACTAATGTGGGCTTCAACTGTGCATCAGACGTGGAGAAATGACCTAGAGAGAGCCAGCAAGCTGATCCAAACTACAGTGAGTTCAGTCATGAGTTATATGACTGTAGGTTTATCTGTGATGCTCTACTTTGTGTCTAGAGGTGTTTAGGAAGTAATGATCATTTAAAACTGTGGACATTAGGGGGATATTATGCAGGATACCTTATCATAAGTAATAGAAACTTATAGAAACTCTTCTTAAAATAAAGTAGAAGTACAAGATTCAAATTTTTACTAAAGTCAAAGTAAGACTATGTGCGTATAATTTTGCTTTTTTGACAAGATTTTACAAATAAAGACTCTTTCGTGTCAAAGTGAAAACAGATTTCTACAAATTAACATCAGTTATTTATTAATATAACATGTAAAATATTCATTCTCTTTAAAGTGACGGAGCTAGAAGTCAGACAGTTGGTGACAGAGAGATCATCTGAGTGCAGTGAATGTGTTCTCATGTATCTGGAAGGTCCTGGTGCATCAGTGCTCCTGGATATAACTACACCATGAAGACAAAATAACACTACAAGCCACTCTGTGAAAAGGTTGTTGAAAAGCATAAGTCAGAAGATGTATACAAGAAAGTTTCCAAGTCACTGGAAATCCCCTGGAGTACCAACAAATCTATCATTAGAGAAATGAAAAGAATACAGCACATGTGTAAACCTGCCTAAAGCAGGCGTACTCAAAAATTGATGGACCATGCAAGAAAGAGACGAGTCAAGGAGGTCACCAAGACACCTAGGACTTCTCTGAAGGAGATACAAGCTTCAGCAGCTGAGATGGAGAGACAGAAACTGTTGCCTGTCAAAGCTTTATGGGAGAGTGACAAAGAGAAAGACACTGTTGATAAAGCTTGTAATAAATATTGGCAGGAGTTGGCCAGAAGGCATGTGGAAGACCCCAAACCCAACTGAGGGAAGGTTCTTTGGTCTGATGAGAGCAAAAAATGGCCATTAAACTAGTTTAGCAGACACCAAAGACTTTACATCATCACAAACTGACCATGACACATGGTGGCGGCAGCATCATGATGTTTGGATTCTGCAGTTCTACAGTTTCATTTAGCAGATGCTTTTATCCAAAGCAACGTACATCTGAGAGCAGATACAACACAAGCAAGGATCTCATCAGGAGAAAAACAATCGAGGTAAGTGCCATAGAACAAGTTCAAGTGTTTTAGGGCGTTGATGCCAGTGGCAGGCTGTGTGGGAGGTAATAGGACTTTTTTTATTTTATTTTTTTTTCAGATGGAGGGATGCTTCTCAGCAGCAGGCCCTGGAAGGCCTATAAAGGTAGAAGGTAAAACAAATGCAGCAAAGTATCAGAAAACCCTGGAGGACAACCTGATGCAGTCTGCAAGAGAACTTGGGAGAAGATTTGTTTTCCAGCGAGACAATGACCTGAAGCATAGAGCCAAAGCTACACAGAAACGCTTTAAGGTGAATGTTCTGGAGGCTGAGTCAAAGCCCAGACCTTAATCCAATTGAGAATTTGAGTCCAAACTCGAGTAGGACTGTTCACTCATGATCCCTGTGTAATCCGACCGAGTTTGAGCAGTTTTGCAAAGAAGAACTGGGTAAAACTGCAGCGTCCAGAGATCTATCAATACAGGCTCAATGCTGTAACTGCAGCCAAAGGTGCATCCACTAAATACTGACTTAAAGGAAGTGAATACTTGTGCATTTACATTTCAGATTTTTAATCAATTTACCCCAAGATACACTGAATACAACGCTAGACTCCAGGTGAAAGCAGCATTAGATGACTGTAACAGCAACACACATAGCAGACAGTCAGCTGAGCATTTCCTCTATAAACACCTCAGAGTGCTTAAAGACACAGTTTGTGCCTTTAGCTGATGGAGCTGCAGACCTCAAAACAAGAGCTGAAGTTTGGTTCGTTGCTGTTTGAAGGAGTCTTTCCTCTGAATTTATCAAACACCTGCAACACCAGACAGCCGCAAGATCCCTGGGAGCATCTCCAAAGCGAGAGAGTTACAAACAAATAATGCTTATAATTACTATGAATGATCCCCCTGTATAATAGATAAGCTGTCAGACACGTTCATCAGCTGCTGTTAACTCATCAGTTACAGTTAAAGCTGCTGGATTTTATTTTACTCTAACAATCCGATCAACAAGTCAAAGTATTTCTTATGTCTTAACAGGTTTGTGTTCTGAGATTTTTTTCCATTTCACAGCAGGATATTAACATTAACGTGCGTGTGGATGCATTATAAACAACGACAACACGTTTTGTCGAGGCACAATTAGTTGTAAATGATCATCAGGTGGATATGTGTTGCCTGTGGGTGAACTTCTTCCTCACAGCTGGATCTCTTTTAAACTTTGCCCACCACAATAAACGACTATAAATGTATTAGTTTGTGCACATATCAAATAATCAGTAGCTTAAAATGCACAAGAAATCCAAGCGTGTGACTTCTAAACTCTCAGAATGACAGTTTCCAGCTGCTGCACAACTCCAGATGTTCAGTCTGACCCACTCATGCTCGCTGATCACCTGAGAGCTGGACCTCCACCTCACCTGGAGCAGCCAACTGCGGGCTATGAAGAAGCAAACCTACAGAACAACACGGCGTGTGGGTGTGTTGTGAGTGTGTGTTGTGTGTCTGGGAGGGGACGAGCCGAGCAGCACTAATGACTGGTGACTGTGTGGGAAAACAAGGGAGGAGCGAGCAGCGCGAACCTGAGTGTGGGAGCTGATTTAAAGGGAGGCAAACCTCGTGGTTCCTGCAGACGCTTCGCTGACTTCTCCCAGTCCTCCTCCAAACTTTGCTCCACGACCTCCCTCCCCTCCTGGACGCTGGAACCGGGCTCAGAGGACCATGATTCCCTTCGTGTTTGCGCTCCTGCTGGTTCCACGCGTGTCGCTCACCTCGACGCGTAAGTACCAAACTTCTCCAGACAGACAGACAGACGGACGGAGGGACGGATTCACCTCCTTCCTGTCGCTGCAGGAGGAAGATGGGAGGCGCTGGGTTGGTTCTGTCCAAACCAACAGAACGGGTTCGCTTTTGAAATGAGTTAATTAAAATACTTCACCTCTCCAGCTGTTATTGTCACCCCGCCTATCATAATTATAACGTGCATGCAAATTATGAGCAACCACAAAGACCTACTTAGCCTCGTTTCATTTTCT